CGTTATTCCCCATTATTTCTCTTTCTGGTGCAGAGCCTGTGCTTTGGCTTTCCAGCCATGACTGGAAGGGCTGAAACCATCCTGAGGAGATCCGTTCTCCTAGGCCCAGTGTTTCTGGCCCAGTCAAAAGTACTGGACTTCTCAGGATGCCATGTTGGGAAGATTTCTAGCCACAGTTTACAGAGCCAGAAACCTGGAGACTTCCAAGAGACACCTGAACTGCACCTGTTCACTAAAGGGCCATCTGGAGCAGAAGACAACTGAGCCAGGGTACCAGCAGATAAACCACTTCAGATGTGTAACTTTGACCTGGGGGAAACTTTACTACCCCTCTTTGGTTTGATTGGAAGTGGCGAGGACACACTAAGGCCTGGTCTACACTCCAGAGTGAGGTCAACGCAAGGCCGCTCACTCTGCATCCCCCTAAGGATGGAATTTCCTTCCCATCGTCAGAACTGCCCCTCGGTGCCAAATTCGTCACTCCACCTCCACACGTGGCAGAGAGTCCAGGTCGATGCAGTCAGGTCGATGCAGCGTCAGACCAGACACCGCGTCGCTTTCCTCAACTGGCTTTCAGGAGCCTTCCCACAATGCCCCACCCTGACCCTACAATCAAGACAAGCCCTTCTGGTGAGGACGGGCACTGCCGACACGAGCAGCAAAGTGCGGACACACACCAGGGATGGAATCGCTGTGGCGGCTGTCTGCCCATTTAAGTTAGGTCGGCTTCAATGTGTGGTGGAGCCATGGCCTGAAGGTAAGAAGAGGTGAAACTCGCACACACACACAGATGCACCATCTTCCCTGTGGTGGCGGGTTCGCAAGGTGACATCTCAAATCTCACTTACAGCCAGAGACACATGGCTGCTCTTCTCCTCCTGGCGTCTCTGCTGGAGCTTGTCCAGCAGCTGCTGCAGCACCTCCCTGGTGAGCTGTGGTTCTTCACCCAAGGCCTTCCACAACTCAATGGCACATCTGCAAATTCAGAAACACACGTCAGAGCTTTCCTGCTTGGCCATCTCTTGCCCTCCCCAGGGAGAGGCTTGGAATACCAGAGGAGACAGCCACTGGTGCAGGGAGGCTAAGGCAGGGCAAGTCCCTTCAGAGAAAGTTGTATTTATTCCTTTCCCCGAATGGGTTCTTGTTTCTAAAGCTAACCCACTCTTTCCAAGACAGTGACCATGTACTGACCACAGAATGACCACCAAACTGTGACCCGCAGACTGCAAAATTCTGCTCTGTTACACTTGGGTCAGTCCCGAGAAACTTGCCTGACATCATTGGAGTTCCTCTGGCTGTTTGGGGCTATAACGGAGACCCAGCGTTTGGCCAAGTGTCTCTTAGCAGCTCAATTCTACTGCAGTGTGGTGGACAGGGTCAGAGAGTGAGTCAGCACATGCCCTGATCTGAGAAGATTCAAGAGCTTGGAAGAGGAGATTGTAAAGCCCAATGTGACAGAGATGGAAGGAAAGTAGGACTGAAATCCCCCTCCTCCATTCTTGCGGATCTAAGTCCTGCTTGTCCCCACAGGCATCTGCAGAGGAAGACTGCAGATGGATCCAAAAGACTTCCAGTCATTTGACTTCCAAGTTTGGTGAGGAAGGTCGGACGTGGTGGTGAAGCCCTAGGACATTGAGACCTAGGTTGGACAACTCAAGGGCAAATGGCCTGGAAGCAAGGTCTTCCGGAAGCTTGACTGAACTTCTGTGCCAATGCTGCCGAGTTTCTGTAACTTCTGAGCACAGCCCCTGGAAAGCACTGTGGCTGTTCCAAGAAATTCAGACCTGATTCTGAAATTCAGAAAGGTTTACAAATCAAACACTCAAAGAAATCTGAAAACCAACACTGTATTCCTCTGATAACTGAATTGGGTAAGAAGTTCCATTTCTTTCCTGCCGCTCTTCAATTTGCTCTGCAGTGTGACACAAATTTCTCTCAGGTCTGTGCAGAACTGCATTGCAGAAGATGCCAAGGAAAGCTGGACTTTTGACCTCTGGCTAGGGTTCAGTTGGGTTTCATGGCCCCGAGGCACATGGGGGTTGTGTTACAAACCCCTCAGCTGGCTGACCCTTCCAAGTGATCAGCAATAACCAGCAGGACTGAAAGTTAACAATCTATTGAGGTGGAAAGAGGCACTCCCCCTTCTCAGAGCTATTAATGCTGGCTGTCTGCTTGCTGCACTGCATTTAGGATCTGGTCATGTGGGGATGATTTTTTTGTTGATTTGATTTTTCTTTTCTTTTGGATCAATAAGGGCTGGAAATGTCTGTCTTAAGAGATTGACCTCTGCCCCACCGCTCCATAAGGATGAGTGCATTTTGTCACCAATTCCTCAGCCATGGAATAACTGGGGGGTCTGACGACAGGTAAGAATCCTGCACTGGTCTCCAGGGGATAGACAGATGGGCCTCATGGGCCTTTTCCATCTCTGCCTTCTCTCCTGCAGTAAGGAGCAGCCAGACCTCATGAGCCAGGGATGTTGAGTGAGCCCCCAAATCATTGATTGGCCCTGTACTGGATCTGAGAGGAAGTGGGGTGACCCATAGAAATCAGGACAATGTTGGAATTCTCCAGAAAAGTGGCATGTCTCCATCCCGGGGAGTGTAGGAGGAGGGGTTGGCTCCTCAGTGGCTGGGCCTGGCCATCTCTTCTTCGTAAGCGTGGACAGCTCTCTGCACAGCAGGAAACTCCCTCCAACTGTGTGAGCCCCACGGACCCCTCCCGGCCTGTGGCCTGTCAGTAGGAGCAGGAAGAGAACTACTGGACTGAGGAGATAACAAAGCAGCTCCCTACCTGTGCGATGAGAGCGTGTGAGCCACACAGGTTAGAACCACGTCCTGGGGGTGGGAGCGAGCCAGCAAGGCCATGGCCCTGAGCACTGCTCTTCTGGCTCTGGGATCACAGCTGTTGTCGAGCCAGATTAAGATCCCTCCCACGACGTCTCCAACCTGGAAGAATGCCAGAAAGTTGAGGGATGGATTTATCAATGAGTGGCCTCCTCCCAGGGAAGCCCTCCTGGCAGCCCTGCAAGCCTCCTCTGACCTCGGTTGCCTATCTTGGCTGCTCCCTAAGAGCCTTTGACAAGTCCAGGAACCCCAGTCTTCCTGAGGTCTGGGTTAGCACCTTCAAGCTCAAAAACACGCACAAAACCTTAGAGTGCGCACAGTCCTAACTCTCCTGATGTCCCAGGGCCTTCCCTGCCGTAGCAAACGGCTCTCAGCCCCGCTCTCAAGGGCTTCCCTCCAGGAGCCTTTCCTCCATCTCTGCAACTTCCTTTTAGCTCTTTCTTGCACAATCCGCTCCTCCAGACCAGTGGTTCTCAACCTAGGTTCCATTGTGGGACACATCCAATCCGACCTGTTTGTCCCTGAGGATGTCCCAAAGGGGCGCAGCTCTGTGCTGACCGGGCCACAGGTTGAGAAGCACTGCTCCAGACCCAGCTGGTTCTACCGATGTATCCCAGAGCCCATGGCAGAGATGGGAGGCAGGGCTAGTTGGGTGGGGCTAGCCAGCTCCCGGCCCCAGTCTCCTAAGTCCCCAGTCTCTAACCTCGGATTCATGCTATGGCACTTAGAAGAGCAGTGCAGACAAGGTGACTTGGGCTGGAGCCCAGGCTCTGAAGCCACCCTCCTCCCCAGGCTTCAGAGATCAAGTTCCAGCCCCAGCCCAGAAGAGTCTGCATTGCTGTTGTGGCCCCTCAGTGCCAGCCCTGGGAGCCCAAGTCCATAGGGCCAGGCTTTCAGGCTCCTGCTGCAGAGTTTGCAACACAGGGAGACAGACCCTAAAGGGACAAGCCACCCCCTAGGACTCTTCCGTGAGGAATTGGTCATTGCTCTTTCCTCTCTCGAACAAGGAGCAGAAGCTCCAAGGTGGGTGGCTGGATTCTGTTGACCTGTTCTGCTAGCAGGAGTTAGAGCCCTGCACAAATCAATCTGCTGATTGAGGGGCCATTTGTTAACTTCCCGCTGGGACCTGTTGGAAAGAAGGAACTCGGGCAGAGACAGGGATGACCTGCAGGAAACCCTAGGAACAGGCAGGTTGGGGAGGAAGTTCAGGCTGAGGATTCTGTTCATTGATTAGTCTCAGAGTTTCCAGGAAAGCCAAAGCCCAGGAAGGGAATAAGTCTGCACTTCCGCGCCACGTGCAGGCGGTCTTTGGAGAAGGGCTTGAATGTCGCCTATCCCCGTGGCCAAGCGATGAATGGCAAGGGGCTGAGCCAACCTTCCAATCCCATGCCAGTGTCCCAGGAATGGTTTCCGAGGAGAGGAACTTCTCCCATCCCCCTCTCTGCGCAGCATCCCCCTGCCCCATTGCGGGAGTCTCTTACTCTCTCCATCTTGTCTCCGTGGAGAGATACGATGGCCCTCAGCTCTTCCTCTGCGGCTCTAAATCTCTGCAGGGTGGGTGTTGTCAGACCCTTCACGGCTGCCATCAGCAGGGCATGGAGCGGGGCTGAGGAAGGGTGCTCCCTGGGGGTCTGCAAAGAACAGGGACAAAGCCTGTTGGGATTGAGTATTTCCCTCGGGCAGCTGCCCTGGAACAGTCTGTCCCCGGGGGAGGCTGGCAGTGCCGAGGGAGCGTGGAGACTCCGGCTGAGCCCTTTTCTTCAAAAGCCTCCCCAGGTGCTAAGGTTTCCTCAGCCTTTTGTCCCCTCTCTGGCCCCCTCCCCTGAGAAGAGACGGGAGCCTCTCGGGCAGTGCTGGGACCCCAAGGGCCACCCCGTTTCCTCCCTCGCTAGCCCCTCCTCGCAGGAAACCCCGCTTTTGCTGAGAAAGCCTCAATGTCCTGCAAAGCCCATTCGAGTTGCTCCTTGAGTGTCGCCGAGGGGTCACTGGAGAACCTGCCCCATGTCCCATCCCACCCCGAGCGCCTGAGGAGATTGGCTCAGCAACTCTGGCAGCCCACAGTGTCTGCGAGGAAGGGACTGAGAATAGGGCCCAAACGGAAACACCCTCTTCCTTCCCCACCTAGCAGCCTGTGGGGCTGCCAGAAAACAGGCAGGAATCGCCGTCAGGACAGAAAGTAACTGAGACTGAAGAAGCAAGTTTGCCTGGCTGAAGAGAAGCCCAAAGCGTGGGCCTCTGGGGCCAGAGCCCTGGGGGTGAGAACTCACTGGGCACAATGTTACTCCAGGGGGCCTGGTTCCAGGGTCACCTCAACCCAGGGCCTGGGGTGCTGGAGGCCTTTGCCCTGGGGTCTCAGGGCACCCCCTGGGGATTACTGCAGCTGGCCTGCATGGCGCTGGATTAGCACCGTCTGTCCTGGTTGCCAACAGCTGAGGGGTAGCTCAGTGGTTTGAGCATTTGCTAAACCCGGGGTTGTGAGTTCAATCCTTGAGGGGACCATTTCGAGATCTAGGGTAAAAATTGGGGTTTGGTCCTGCTTTGAGCAAGGGAGTGGACTGGATGACCTCTTGAGGTCCCTTCCAACCCTGATATCCTAGGATGCAGTAGAGCACGGCGGAGTGGCACACTCGCCTCCATACTCCAGACCCCCGGCGGGTCAGAAGCTCCCAGAATTGCAGCCTTTTGTATGCGCTGCAGGGTGCTCTGTCCCGAAGAGGAAGAGTTACAAAGGTGTCTAGAGGCTTTTGTAACTCGGACAGAGCCCAGATGTTGGCAGGCGGGAGGGAACCTGGGACCTCTGGAGCTTAGTGCAGGAGCCTCGACCACAGGAGCGAAAAGCCAAGAGGCTGTTAGCTAAGGCTCTAGAGCAGACTCCTTTTCTCTGTGTCTCAAAGTGGTCCTGGTGCCACGAGATGGGCCAGAACCCCACAGCCAGGAGATATGTGGGTTCCCCCGACCAGGGCAGGGATGGGCCTGGTCTGATTTTCAGCCGTGCCTGTGTGCCATGGAAAGTGCATCAGAATCGGGCACCTGAGTCAGGCACTTCTGCCAGTCCCACAAAGCACCTCTGGACTTCTTTAGGTGCCTAAACCCCTTTGTCAAAGCGGGCCTCGTTCAAGCGACCCAGATAAAGACTGGCTGGAGTTGATCACCCTTGACGAGTGTTTCTTTTCAGCCCCTGGGAGATATTCCTACACACAGCAAGGGATGCTTTCCATGAGCACGGCCACACAGCATCATTACCATCGTCATATGGGAGCTGCTTGTTAATGAGGGGCTGGGAGTGCGCTCTTCTTCCTGCTCTTCTGGGCTTCCTTTTTCCCACTTCCCCTTCGTGTCAGACGGCTCCTTCTTCGTCCCTGCAGCAGAAAGAAACATTCTTAACATTTTGCTTTTCCATGTCTTCCCCCTGGTTTACAGAGGATGGAAGTTGGGCCCAGAGCCCTGAAGCGAATTGCCCAGGGTCAGACTGAAGGTTGTTGGCAGAGCTCAGCAGAGAACTCTGCTCTCCTGACTCCTAGCTGGAGGCTTTAACCACACGAGGCTTCCTCTTCCCTCGGGGCCAGTTTCTTTTCAATGGTGTCCTCTACTCTTCCCCTCCCCTTGCACCCCTTTCCTGTCAGTGATGGGCACCTGGCCTCCTTTTGCATTGAACCCCCCAAGAAGGAATGACTCAGCTCTGGTACGGTTCCCAGCTGTGACCTGCTGAGACCTCTGGAGCATTTTCTTGAGGAAAGGGACCCAATCCAGGAGAAAAGAAAGGATTTCCTCCAACGTCCAGCCTCTCTCTTCTCCTTCCAGCCTGGAACAATGTTAGTAGTCCCCACCCCACCGTGCCAGATCCCCAGAGGGGGGTGACCTGACATTGTCAGCTCTCCCCACCTCAGCCATGGACCTCTGCCACCCTCTATATGGATTCCAGAGCCGGAGGTACCCATCACTGTCCCATGAGATGGCCCTGATGTCGAAGGCTTGTCGAGTGACTGGTGTGAGTGTTCCTCACATGCTCCTCGTGAACCATGTGGATTGAACCATCTCACCTGTAAGATCCACTTCGACTTTGTCTGTCGTCTCCTGCAGCTTCACCTCCTCTGCCTCCACCTGGGTCTCCGCTGCTTTCTTCTTCAGGGACAAGTGTGTCCACCTTCTTGGAGAGGAAGCTGTTCTCTCCTCACTGCTCTCTGCCATCGAGTTGTGGGATTGGCAACAGACACAGAGTCTTTTCATGATGGTCCATGAGCATTTTCTTCCCTGGGGCTTCTCTGGCAAGGCCTGTTCTTGGGGGCTGAGGCCAGAGCATGCCTCAATGGCTGCAGGTTGGACGAGCACTTTGTGCACATGGATCTCTCTGTGCTCCCGAGAGGCGAGTCTTTGGAAAAAGGAACGAAGCCTGGAATAGAAAGAAGGAGGAAATGGGTTTTTCTGTCCTTCTCGAAAGGAAGGGAATTAGTTTGCCCAGGATTCCCAGATCCACGAGAGTGGTCTTTTGAAGCCATCTGCTCCTCTAATAGCCAGGACTGGTTGCTGCAACCAAGAAGATATGCAACACAAGACCGCCCAGACTGGGTCAAACCAAAGGTCCATTGAGCCCAGTACGCTGTCTTCTGACAGTAGCCAGTGCTGAGTGCCCCAGAAGGAATGAACAGGGAATCATCAAGCGATCCATTCCTGTTGCTCATTCCTGGCACCTGGCAAACAGAGGCTAGGGATAGAAAGAGCAAAAGGTCAGTTTCTATGTTCTTTGGTCCTTGCCTGGGCCTAGTTGCAAAAATGCTTCCTTCTTAACCCCACTCCTTTGTGCACAGAATGTTGGGACTCTGGGAACAGATCGGGCCAAGCTGCAAACCAAGAAAGCTCTGTTCCCAGAGAAGCCAGGAAAAGGAAGAAAAGATTGTCATCTCGAGGGTTTGAGGGTCTGGAAGGATGAATTAGCAGCTGCAAATATGTTGACTTCTTCTCAACTATTTGAAAATCTGGAATGTATTAGCATGGGGGAAAGAATCAGTCAACTTGAAATGAAGAATGACCCATATTATTTCCAACATCCAGTCAGAAGTTAGGCCTCCAAAACAAGGACAAAGAAATCACAGCGAGACCCATGACAAATGTAGGCGACAGTTGATTGAAACCCCTTTCCTGGAAAGGAATTGTGGGGCGGGGGGGGGGGGATCGACACATCTCTTTTCTCTAGCCCAAGGGGGTAGAGTAGAATTTGTAGAGAGTTTTGAGATCTATCGCCATGAGATTCTTTCTGAGAGAACTACCAAGATGACAGCCAGGGGATGGGAGTGGAGCTGTATCACTTTCAATATCTTAAGATTAATTTCTTCTGCATTATTTGAGCTCATTTATGTGCATTTCAATCCTGTAAATTCTGAGATCGATATTCTCTCAATACACATTTCTTTGGCAGTCATGACAGGAGACAAAGGGTTTCTATTCCCAACTTGAAGGCAAGGAGTGCATTAGGGGCAACTCCAAGGGAAAGACTATTGATGGAGATCTCAATCTAAATTCTACACGAGTTTTGTTATCTTCCCTTTTGGTTCGATCCCTGGAAATTCCCCCCGACTAGTCTGCTGAAAGATAAAATCACCTAAATCTGCCTCCAAAGAACCTGACAGGCTGAAGCAGGAGGAGACCTGAGAGATGGCCACTTTCAAATCAAAAGGGAACGCTGAGACCTGCCTGTTGCCACACCCGCCCCCACCCGTCCCGAGGAGAAGGAGGCACCGACCTGTCGTGTGCGATCTAATGAGCAGGGAAAGAATCTGGGAATTACCTTCTGTAAAAACTCATCCTTTTGTTCCTCAAACACCTGTGGAAATAGCTGATTCAAGAAGTTGCTGACAGAGGGATGGTCCGCGTCTCTCAGCAGCTCCTTGGGTCACCAGCCGTTGTCAACCAAGCCAGTTGGCAGACTGACGGCAGGGCAAGAATGCTGACGCCCAACACTCTTTGCTGTTGGCCTCCGTGACATCACAATCAGCTTGTGCATAAACACACACAGACCCCACCCAGAGAGACACACCCCCACTGAGCAACTCCCCACCCTCCTTCCCAGCACTTCCTGCCCACCCCAGAACAGCTGTTTCATGGAATTGAGGATGCTCCGGGAGGGTCGGTTCGGGGCGGGGACATGGCATACTTGGGGCAGTGCATGGGATTCTTCTCTCCTCAGTGCAGGGCTCAGCACTTGTCCTTGCTGAACCTCATCAGATTTCTTTTGGCCCAATCCTCTAATTGGTCTGGGTCACTCTGAACCCTATCCCGACCCTCCAGCGTATCTCCCTCTCCGCCCAGCTTAGTGTCATCTGCGAACTTGCTGAGGGTGCAATCCATCCCATCCTCCAGATCATGCACGAAGATGGTGAAGAAAACCGGCCCCCAGAGTGACCCGTGGGGGAAGCGGGGGAGGGGGTGGAGGAGAGGAGGCAGACGGTGAGTGGCAGGGACCCCACAGAGGGGGGTGCAGTGGAGGAGAGGGGGAAATCATCCAGGCAGCGGTGGGCAGTGTGGGCTGGGAGAAGGGGCGAGGCAGATACAGGAAGAGATGGAGCACAGGCGGGGAACTGGGGCCCAGGCACCCGGGGCCTGGTCATCGTTGGCACCAGGAGAGGAGAGGAGAGAGAGAGACAGAGAGAGACAGAGACAGAGTGTGTGTGATGGCCAACATACTAGAGGAGAGACAGAGAAAAACATGGTAGGATAGCAAGCAACTCACCTCCTGGAGTCATCTGTGATGAAGCGGGACTTCATGTTTCCTCTGAATTGTGTGGGGGTGCCTCAGTTTCCCCTATGCAGTTCTTAAGGATCTAGGGGGTGGGGTAAGGGTGTATGATCGTTGCAGAGCTCTGGAGGGCAGGTGTGTGCAGGGGTCTGGACACAGAGAATGGCCGACACCCTCTTTCCTGGCACCTGATGCCCTGGGCCCTTCCCCCCTGCGAGGTGAGAGCTAAAGGGTTGGAGAACAAAGGAATCGGGTGCCCTCCTGGCCGGGGACAGGGACAAAGCCCAGAGGAGGAGGGGCTGGGGGGAGTTTCAGTTGGGGGCTGGCTGGAGACATGGAGTGAAGGGCAGACGGGGTTGTCTGGCTCACTGCCCCCCCCAAAATGGACCCGGCTGAGGGGTCCTGTTCTCTGCACCTACAAGCTCTGTGTTAGACCATGTCCCTGTCGTCTAATAAACCTCTGTTTTCCTGGCTGGCTGAGAGTCCCGTCTGACTGCGGAGTTGGGGGGCAGGACCCTCTGCCCCCCCCAGGACCCCGCCTGGGCGGACTGGCTGTGGGAAGCGCAGGGAGGGGCAGAGGAGGCTGAAGGCTCCGAGGTCAGAGCCAGGAAGGTGGAGCCGGGGGAGCTGTGTGTCCTGCAGACAGGCTGCTCCCCGAGAGGAGACTTCCCCAGAGTCCTGCCTGGCTTCCTGGGGAGCAGTCCCAGAGCATCGCCCGGGGACCCCGGGACATCCTCCTCCTCGATGAAACCTTCTGCTGTGTGACGTGTTGTGTGTGTCGTGTTGCATGTGTCGTGTGACGTGTTGTGTGTGTGACTTGTGTGTCGTTTTGTGTGTGTGAGACGTGTTTATGTGTGCGTGTTGTGGTCCATGTTGAGTGTGTGTGTGCCATGTTGTATGCCGTGTTGTGTGCATGTGACGGTGTGTGCCGTGTTGTGTGCCGTTTTGTGTGCATGTTGTGTGTGTCGGTGTCATGTGTTGTGTGAGATTTTTGTGTCTCGTGTCGTGTGCCGTTTTGTGTGTCTTGTGTCGTGTTGTCTGTGTGTGTGTCATGTTGTGTGTGGGTGTGTGATATTTTGTGTGCGATGTTTTGTGCATCGTGTTGTGTGTGTGTGTCACGTGTGCCGTTTTGTGTGTCATGTGAGGTGTTGTGCCTCGTCTCGTGTGTGTGTGTGTTTATGTGTCGGTGTCGTGTATTGTGTGTGATTTTTGTGTGTCGTGTTGTGTGCTGTTTTGTGTGTCATTTTATTTGTGTGTCATGTTGTTTGTGTGTGTCGGTGTCCTGTGTTGTGTGTGTGTGAGAGACGTGTTTCTGTATGTGTGACGTGTTCTCTCTGTGTGTGTCGGTGTCGTGTTGTGTGTGTGTGTGTGAGTGTCGTCTGTCGTGTTTTGTGTGTGTGATGTTTTGTGTGTGATGTGTGTGTTGTCTTGGGTGGCCACACAGGGTAAGGCACAAAGCATTCCCCTCATGGAGGAAGAGTGACACAACGTGGCCACTCAGGAGTAACACACAAACAATCCCCCCCCCCCCCCCGGAGCAACAGTGATGTGTGTGGCCAATTCAGGTCATGCACAAACCATTTCCCTCATGGAGCAACAGTGACCCCGGGTGGCCCCTCAGGGTACTGCACAAACCATTTCCATCGTGGAGAAACAGTGACACCGGTGGCAATCCAGATAATGCACAAACATTTCCCCACAGAGCAACAGTGACAGTGGGTGTAACGGCCCCCCCCCCCCCCCCCCCCCCCCCCCCCCCCCCCCCCCCCCCCCCCCCCCCCCCCCCGGGGGGCCCCCCGGCCCGCCGGGGGGGCCGGAGCGCGACCCCCCGGGGCGGCGGGCCCCAACCGGCCCCAGGCACTTCCCCCCACCGGGCATGCACCAACCATTTCCCTCGTGGAGCAACAGTGACACCGGGTGGCTAATCCAGGTAATTGCACAAAGCATTTCCCTCATGGAGCAACAGTGACACCGGTGGCCACTTAGGTAATGCACAAATCATTTCCCTCCCGGAGCAACAGTGACACCAGGTGGCCAGTTCAGGTAATGCTCAAATCATTTCCCTCATGGAGCAACAGTGACACCGGGCGGCCCCTTGGAGTAACACACAAATCATTTCCTCACGGAGCACCCGTTGCACAAACTGAGTTTAATAATAATAATAATTAAACAAAAAATAGTTTCACTAGAAAAGGCAGATTTTCAGTGATTATAAGGGATAGCAAACAGAAGAAGGCAGATTGCTAAGCAAATACAAATACACACACATACTAAGCCTAAGATCTTAAAGAGACTGGATTCAAGAAGTAATTTCCCATCCTAAATGTCTTTTGGCAACTTGAAGAGTTTCTGTAGCTTAGACTTCCCGTTGTTTCTCTTTACAGACTAGACTCCTGTCTTAGTCTGGACTTCCCCCTTCTCATTCCCTTTGTCTCTTCAGGTACTTTCAGCAGCCTTTCTACTGCCCTGCATGATTTTCCTCCGCTCCGACTTCTCCATGGCTCCCGAGACCTCACCTGTGGGAATGCACACCTACCCGTGTCCTACAAAGGGAGACGGCACCAGGAGAGCAGAGGAGAGAGCGAGTTGGCGAACACACGAGAAGACGGCGAGTGCGGACGAGGAACTGGAAGCGCCGACCTGGCAGCCGGGTCTGCAGCGGGCAGAGAGCGGAGGCCTGGTTCCGCCTCCTTGGAAAGAGGCCCAAGCGGCTCAGGCCCCTCCGGCCGCGTTCCCCTCCGGCGAGAGCTCCGGCACCATTCCTCGC